AAAAAAAACACTCTCCTGTCTCCTTCTGTATTTTTGTCATGAAGTTGATTGTAGTCAACTCAGCAGGGCTTACTGCAGGCGTGACCGCAGGTTGTCCTGCAGCATTTCTGCTCCTCTGGACATTGACCATCATGGTAGCAGTACTCTGCACACATGGGAGTTCCTTGGGGCAGAGCGCAACGGCCCGGCTTCACTGACATACCAAAACACAAAAGATTGCATGGTTACAAAGCAAAAAAGTACCAAACGGACCAATGCGGCCACGGGGCACTAAAAACTCTTAAGCTAACCTTTGTAAGGGACCGTGCACTCGTGTCCGCATCCGTTGGAGCAGCATTTCTCCTCATTGGGACAGTCACTGTCGTCATAGCAAAACTCGGCACACTGCCCATAGCCCCACTTTCGACGCGGACACACTCCTGGTTTATCTGAAAATCAGATCCCGAAATGAGCAGGTTTTAATGAAATGTTCTGTAAACCCCGCGTTGTTACAGCTACAGCGAAAGCGCCATATAAATAAATTGTACGGGAGGGTGTGTTCCAGAGTAGCACTTAAGTGTGATAAACTTTCATGATGGGAAAATCGTACTTAAAGAAGGAGGGACGCAGGCAGCTCCACAGTCAAAGACGCAACACTTGTGGTTCTCAGGGCAGTCTTGATCACACGCGCAGCCCTTGCGTGATGGCACCACTTTCAGAAGACGAGGGCATCGGCCCGCTTTCGGCCGAATCTCTGAGGAAAAAAATCAAAACAAGAAAATACTGAATTAGACGAGAGCGTAAACTCGAAACAGATGTTTTGAAATGAGTAAAAACGGCAAGGAAAATGATAAAGGTCTTACCTGTCAAATTGTTTCGGGAATTCTGAGTAAAAACAATCTTGAACTGCACAAATGCACCGAGCGCTATAACCAACGCACAAACTGTGTACTTATCCATACTTGGACAAGAATGTGCTCTTGTTTTCCCCCCGTTAGGACAAACACGACTTTCAGACTGGGGTCGCCCTGGAAGAGGATGCGCGGGGGACACACTGAACTGGTTGCCAGCCAATCACCGGGCACCCATAAACTAACAACCATCCGCAGTCAAACTCACACGAGGCACAATTTAGAATGTTCCATTAATTGACCTGCCATGCATTTTTTTGGAATGTGGAAGGAAAAGGCAGGGGGAGGGCATGCAAACGCCACAGAGGAGCCAGAGCTGGAATGGAACCCTGCACTTCTGCACTGTGAGGCCAATACGCTCACCAGTCAACACCCGGCCACACTTTCTCAACAGCTCCAGCTGTAACAAAGGGCTTTACAGACCATTTCACATAAAAAAAAAAAAATAATAAATAATACATGATAACATAAAACACAGACAACAATAGAATCGTAACTATTCCTGCATATACTGTACCTTGTTTGAAGCAGTTATAGATAAAAGAGGTGAGTCAGTCTTCATTCTCCAGTGGAGTAGAGACGTCATGAAAAATTATGTGTGGCCCCGTAGCAATCAGATTTAAGATCTTCCTACATATCCTGTTTAAGATAAATAGTAATCCTTTTCAGGATCGATTGGTTGGTCAGATCTAAATCCAGATCCCGATTAATCGTCTTATTTAGTTATTTACATCAAATTAGTTATAGTAACCACTAAAGAAAACTTATTCACGATTTTTTCAAGGTATTAAACGGGACATATATTTGGATAGCGCTTTGTCAAGAGCTGCAGCTGTACCAAAGCGCTTTACAGAGCACGTCACAAACGTCTGCTCCAAACTAAATTTGACATTACACAAGAATTATTGAGTCATAAAGTGAGCAAATTGTCTTCGAAAAATGTTGTGATTATAATCATTGCCAGATACCGTACAATTAAAACTTTTTGTTCAGTCTTAATCCTGTACAATCTCACCAAATGACTGCCAAACAGTTGCTTCGTCTCCAAAACAGAAAATAACGATTCATGTTTGTCGAATATTCCACTTTTCCACACACAAAATGGCGACTCATCAACGTCCAATTTGGTGCCTCAGGGGTTAATCAACATTTGCTCATCATTTTGGCTTAACAGAGCATTTCACATAAAATAACACAAACAATACAGCACAACATAAAACACGCACAATATAATCATAACTACATGTTTGCACTGTGGTTGAGAGAGGAAAGTTATTTCATTTGTGCTTTATGTTGCACATAGAGCATATTTGACAATAACAACTGACTTGATAACTATTCCTGCATACACCTTGTTTGAAGCAGTTACCGATAAAAGAGAGACTCAATATCCTTTCTCCACTGGATCATAACAATGTGCATGACGTCACACAGGTCGGCTCTTTGCTCATCATTTTGGCTTACAATTTTGATCAGGCTCTATTTTGAGGAAGCATTATTTTAGGTAGAAATAATGCTTTTTTAAAAGTGTTATTAAGTTAAAAAAAATTTAACTTTGTTAACATTTTTAACTACACCACGTTATATTTAGAGATGATTGTGCGCGATGGTTATGATGGGAAGAAACAATTACATTCGATAACATGAGTGAGTGCTGCCAGACGCATCGACATAATTGTTGGCCACGTGATGAGCGATGCCATTCCTGGCGTGTGGTCACTGGTCACACCTGCTCTTCAGAAAAACTCCGTGGGCCGCACCAAACACTTCAGTGATAATCACAACAGTATAGAAAACTGATTAAAGTCAGTTTAACAGATTCGTGGGAAGTTAACTTTGGCAAGCTATTAACTAGCTTTCAACCCCCCCCCCCACCCCCCACCATCACGTTTGTTTATTCAACAGTGTTGCAGACTGGATATGCATTTTTTAAAAATCGGACTAATTTTTCTCTTTGATGTTTAGGTCCTCTGTTGTCAATTCCCTTGTACCGAGCATTGTTGCCATGGATTCATCCTGTGAAGGACATGATAAATTAATTCCACTTCAAGGGTCTTTTGCTGTTGCACTTGTGTGAGATTTAATAACTGTGCACATGCATACATATGCATACCGGTACACCCGCGTGCACACACACGCACGCGCACGCGCACACACACACACACGAATGCCCTCTTTTTTCAACAGTTTAGTATTATATCCGGCATAATAATCCAGTATTATGCCGGATTTCTGACTCTACAAAGTCAGAAGTCGTGTCTGCCTCCGGCTTCCCCAGCAAAAAAGAATCCAGCTACTTTGCGCACCTCTACACAGAACCTCTGCTGGTCAACCTGCCCACACCAGACTTTAGCATGCCTTATAATGTCATCGGTCTGAACTGCATTGTAGGGGCTGTGGGTTATGGATCCCTCTTCAACCTGCTCACGCGCAATTTCCAGATAGGGGAGCCAAGGCCGGGAGTGGCCAAACGCATTGCCAACGTAATTCGGAAAATGCGGCGACATGCCCGCTCTACTCTGTTCCTTTAGTTAAAGCCACTGATAAATGAGCCCTATTCAGGGAGGAACTGATTGATTTTTATTTTGTATTTTATTTTTTTATATTTATTTGGAATACAAGTTTCCACGATTGTGTGTGTCACTTGAGGACATGTTAACACACTTGGATTGAAAATAGATGGAGGACAGGATCCTGTCGTGGTCAAGCATAAGCAAGCAGGTAAGCAGAATTTCTGAGCTCATTCCTGCCCAAGCCGAGATCACAACAGACCGTCTTTGCTGTCGTAGGGACAATTAAGTTTCTGCAAACATACACACACCTGTAATGTTTTCCAACCTTTATTTTAGCCAGGGCACATTTTGAAGGAAAATATTTTTGTCATGAAGTTGATTGTTGTCAACTCAGAGGGGCTGAGAACAGGCGAGACCACAGGCTGTCTGGCAGCATTTCTGGTCACCTGCACACTGACCGTCATGGAAGCAATTCTCTGCACACGTTCCTTGGTGCAGAGGGCAGCGGCCCGGCTTCACTGACACACCAAAACACAAAAGAGGGCAGGGTTACAGAGCAAAACATACCCAAGGGAGCAATGCGACCACAGGGTAGTGAAAAGTCACTTAAGCTAACCTTGGAAAGGTGGCATGCAATTGTATCCTGCACATCCGTTGCGGCAGCATTTCAACTCGTCGGAACAGTCTCTGTCATCAAAGCAGAGGAAGGCACAATACCCTAACTGCCCTGTCGTATCTGGACACACTCCTGGCTTATCTGAAAATCAGATCCTGAAATGAGCAGGTTTTAATGAAATGTTCTGTAAACCCGCGTTGTTACAGCTACAGCTGCTGTGTAAGCGCCACACAAATAAAATGTGTTGGACGGGTGTGTCGCAGAGAAGCACAAAAGTCTGATTGACTTCCAAAAGGGAAACAAGTTTGTAATTCGTACTGAAAGAAGGAGCGACGCAGACATCTTCACAGTCGAAGACGCAACACTTGTGGTCCCCAGGGCAGTCTTGGTCACTCACACATCCGCTTTTTGATGGTGCAAGTAAAGCACGACGGGAACATTCGCCTGGTTTTGGGTGAATCTCTGAGTGAAAGAACAAAACAAAACATCTTGAATCATCCAAGAGTGTCATGTTTTTAAATGGCAAAGAAAATGATCAAGAACTTACTGGGAGAATCCTGAGTAAAAACCGGATGAAATTGCACAAATGCACCGAGCGCGAAAACCAACGCACAAACAGCGTACTTGTCCATGCTTGTATGCGAATGTGCTCTTGATTCCCTCTGTTGGGACAAACACGACTTGCAGGTGTGTCGCCCTGAAGAGGATGCTGGGTCCTTGTGCCTGTACGATACAATCACATCCATCCGTTCATCCTTTTGATGATCAACTTGATCCTCAAGTGGGTTGCGGGGCATGCTGGAGCCTTCCCAGCTGCCTTCTGGCAGTAGGCGGGGGCCACCCTGAGCTGGCTGCCAGCCAACTGCAGGGCACACAGATACATACAACCATTGGCACACGCACACACACACACACCCCTAGGAACAATTTAGAGTTTTGGTTCACACATGCCTGCTCTAAAACAACGTGAAAAAATATCACTGCTTACAATCAGACAAAATGTCACAAAAAATAGCTACATTGAAATGATGATCGTGTCTCCATTTATTCACAAATTTATTTTTTCAATGTGAAATTCATCTGGGCCCATTGAGTTGCGCACAAAGTTTTTTTTTTCTGCTGTGTGAATGGCAACAAGTTGGTTCGCATGTCAATTGCACTTTCTGCCATCTGGTGGAAGAGCATTTTAATTGTTCAGCCTGTCACCAGACAAAAACACCACATTCTTCTTCTTCAATAAATAAATTCTGGACCAATTAAGTGAAATTGTCCAATTATTGGGAATCACTGCACGAGTGGATACATTGAGCACTTGGTCTTCATGTGCATTACTGCGACACAACGGAGTTTGTTTGCCTTGGCAAAATGGTTGATGCTTTATTTATTTGCAGTTATCCTTTTGTTTGCACTGCTGTTTAGTATGCATTTGTGAAAAGCAATACCGTCGTCTGGGACTCTCTACCAATCAAGCTCTCTTTTACTTTTTGCACTTATGGTGATATGTATTCAGCTTTTATTTGGCCAGGCAAGCTACATGCAAAGTACTGACTATGACTGCCCATTCATGGAGCGATAGCCTGACAGGAAGACGGCGGCAGTCGTTTGAGGGCTGCAACTAATCAGCTGAACTTTTTCAAAACATGCACAACAGACTTCACATTTTATTCAGTTGCTGTAACTTTTGTCTCATCCCATCAGGGGTTCCCACAGTGAGTCACTTGTATGATTTATTTGGCAAGTTTTGCACCAAATGTGCTTTCTGATGGAACTTTTCTCCCTCTTCTTGTTTTAATAAATAAACATTGAGTACCCATATGACATCTCTGGCAGCATCAATCAATTGTGAGACTTCTTGCACATAAAATAAGACTGTACACTGAAAGATTGTGTATATGCCAAGTCAAGTCAGCTTTATTATTTTTTTCATGTACTTATGTTGTACTTAATGAAGTGGATGTCCTGTGTATATATAAGGTCAACCAAAACATGACAGTATTTTCACTGCTGTCATCTTATTCTGTTTTTTGGAATTCATCTTTCCATTACATTAAAATTAAAAACAAAACACATGTATTGTGAGCGGCCTGCTTCTATTTTTTACCCACTTGCCATTTGAATTACGGTAATGCATCTTCCAGGTTGATTGCACATCCAAAATGTTGGCTTGCACACTTTGACCACACCACTAAGTTCTTAGTTCGCCAGATGTTAGACAGAAAAAAAAATCTCTTTCTTATTGTGCTACCTGTGTGAGAGGCAAAATATGTTTACAGTGATCAGATGACCATTTTTATGATGACCTGAGGAAAAGAGGGTCACATTTTGGAGAGTGCATCAATGTGGGAGCTGGATTACTTCTCTCTGACTGCCCTCATTTATGGACTAGACTGGACTGTACAAGCAAACTCCAATGGGGCAGACAAACACAAGAGGTCACCATGTAGAAGGGAGTTGCAGGGGAGATCAGCTGCAAATGGTTTCCTCTTCAAGTGTTTCATAAAGAGCAGGCTTCAGATAGCTGTGTGATTAATATGCTGATGTGCCCGTGTAATTGATGAAAAGCAGTGATCGCTGTGTTGAAGATGTTATGAGATGTGCTGGTCCAATGTGTAAAGCAGATACTATCACGTTGGAGTGTTGCAACATTCCTGTAAACATGTTTTCATTGATGGCATACTTCGGGAAGTAATCGTGCAACACATTTCTCATTTGTAGCACATTTATTTTTAAAAAATAGCAAACAGGAAATAATTTGAGCTAAATACCAAAATTTGTATGATCTGAATACTTTTGATGTACCCTGTAACCACGTTGAAGGAAAATGTATATTAAAAAAAAAACACTCTCCTGTCTCCTTCTGTATTTTTGTCATGAAGTTGATTGTAGTCAACTCAGCAGGGCTTACTGCAGGCGTGACCGCAGGTTGTCCTGCAGCATTTCTGCTCCTCTGGACATTGACCATCATGGTAGCAGTACTCTGCACACATGGGAGTTCCTTGGGGCAGAGCGCAACGGCCCGGCTTCACTGACATACCAAAACACAAAAGATTGCATGGTTACAAAGCAAAAAAGTACCAAACGGACCAATGCGGCCACGGGGCACTAAAAACTCTTAAGCTAACCTTTGTAAGGGACCGTGCACTCGTGTCCGCATCCGTTGGAGCAGCATTTCTCCTCATTGGGACAGTCACTGTCGTCATAGCAAAACTCGGCACACTGCCCATAGCCCCACTTTCGACGCGGACACACTCCTGGTTTATCTGAAAATCAGATCCCGAAATGAGCAGGTTTTAATGAAATGTTCTGTAAACCCCGCGTTGTTACAGCTACAGCGAAAGCGCCATATAAATAAATTGTACGGGAGGGTGTGTTCCAGAGTAGCACTTAAGTGTGATAAACTTCCATGATGGGAAAATCGTACTTAAAGAAGGAGGGACGCAGGCAGCTCCACAGTCAAAGACGCAACACTTGTGGTTCTCAGGGCAGTCTTGATCACACGCGCAGCCCTTGCGTGATGGCACCACTTTCAGAAGACGAGGGCATCGGCCCGCTTTCGGCCGAATCTCTGAGGAAAAAAATCAAAACAAGAAAATACTGAATTAGACGAGAGCGTAAACTCGAAACAGATGTTTTGAAATGAGTAAAAACGGCAAGGAAAATGATAAAGGTCTTACCTGTCAAATTGTTTCGGGAATTCTGAGTAAAAACAATCTTGAACTGCACAAATGCACCGAGCGCTATAACCAACGCACAAACTGTGTACTTATCCATACTTGGACAAGAATGTGCTCTTGTTTTCCCCCCGTTAGGACAAACACGACTTTCAGACTGGGGTCGCCCTGGAAGAGGATGCTGGGTCCCTGTGCCTGTACGATACAATCACATTCTGTCGGAATATGTTCTAAAAGCTATTTTTTTCTCATGAAATCATTAACTCTGTATGTGTGGCCCCGTAGCAATCAGATTTAAGATCTTCCTACATATCCTGTTTAAGATAAATAGTAATCCTTTTCAGGATCGATTGGTTGGTCAGATCTAAATCCAGATCCCGATTAATCGTCTTATTTAGTTATTTACATCAAATTAGTTATAGTAACCACTAAAGAAAACTTATTCACGATTTTTTCAAGGTATTAAACGGGACATATATTTGGATAGCGCTTTGTCAAGAGCTGCAGCTGTACCAAAGCGCTTTACAGAGCATTTCACATAAAATAACACAAACAATACAGCACAACATAAAACACGCACAATATAATCATAACTACATGTTTGCACTGTGGTTGAGAGAGGAAAGTTATTTCATTTGTGCTTTATGTTGCACATAGAGCATATTTGACAATAACAACTGACTTGATAACTATTCCTGCATACACCTTGTTTGAAGCAGTTACCGATAAAAGAGAGACTCAATATCCTTTCTCCACTGGATCATAACAATGTGCATGACGTCACACAGGTCGGCTCAATTATCGAGTCATAAAGTGAGCAAATTGTCTTCGTAAAATGTTGTGATGTCTTAAACCCATACAATCTAACCAAATGACTGTAAAACATTTGTTTTGCCTCCAAGAAATTCAGAAATTAAGGATGTATCTTTGTCGAATGTTCCACTTTTACACACGCAATATGGCAACTCATCAACGTCCAATTTGGTGCCTAAGGGGTTATCGTACATATTTCCGCGTCTGTGCGAAACACGTCACGTGTCCAAATAGGAACTTCCCTCCCCAATAGGGAACAAGAACACGAAAGCAGAAATATTAACTTAAGGTGGCGGTAATGCGCACGGACCCTGGTTGCCAACTATACCGGAAGAAAGAAGAAACACAATCGCAATGGAGAAGGAATATGTGCAAATATTGCTTCTGACTTTGCGAGCTTATATTGGAACCCGTCATCGACTTCTTCAGTTTCTCCGTGACATGCATCAACAGAGATTACGTAACAGGAAGAAGGTAAGTTTGATAGTATTGTTATGATGAACACTGCGACCTATTTTCCCGATCTCTCTCAAAGTCTCAAATCTTCATGTCCCCGTGAATCGTCAGTCCACAGCTGGTTAACGTGTGCGTTAATTAGGCCTCGTCTTTGTTTTAAAAGTGAACCATTAATATGATTTTTCGAGGGCTCAACCCTTCAAAAAAGGGAAGTCATGAACCATCATATCATTTGATTTGTCCAGCTCAACCATTATTGGGATACTTTTCGCAACATACAGAATTGTATTTAATTTGTCAATTTATTATGTTGCTGTTTCCCCCCCCAACAAATACTAAGGAACCTTAAAATGTGTTAAATAAACATTGCCGAATAAATCCTTTACGATGAAATCAAGTTACATTTTATTTGGATACTAATTAATTTTTTCTATTACGAATAAAATTTTAGCATTACTCTAATAATAAGGTTGTAAATCAATGCTTACGTTAGAGTTTACCCACATGAACATTATTCCAGCTCGTTTAACTGCTTTGCCAGTTGGTCAAGAAAAAAAACACAATAATAAATGGAACTTAATCTGTTATTTTATCATCAAGCGGGATGGACAATGTCTTTTTAATGGTGTCTCAGAATCACTTTATTACAGCTGCAGTTATTGTTTGTCTTGGGACAACTCGAATTTACAGGTGCTGTTGTGGCTCATATCAAGGCGAGCGCCACCTTCTGTGTGGATGCGTCCGCGTTCTCGGCACTGGTGGGACCACGTTGTTCCGGATTTCAGCCCTTCGCAGTTCCAGCAGAATTTCCATTTATCCAGGAAGACCTTTGAGTACATCTGCGGTCGGGTGAGACGTGCCATGGGGAGAAGGGACACAAATTTCCGTCCCTCGATCCCTTTTGAAAAGAGAGTCGCGATTGCCGTTTGGAAGCTCGCCAACGGCGGTGGCTACAAGACCATTAGTCGTCTCTTTGGGGTGGGCCTGAGCACCGTGTACTTGTGTGTGCGAGACTTCTGCATCGCGGTCACTAAGCTACTCCTTCCCATCCACATCAGATGCCCCGATGCTGACAAATTGGTGGAGATGTCCACCTTGTTTCACGGCATTTGGGGAACACCACAATGTGTGGGTGTACTCGGTGCTTGCCACATTCTCATAGCGATTCCGAATGAGAACCCCCAACACTACAGAAACCAGAAAGGCGGATACTCTGTCATTCTCCAAACGGTTGTGGATGGAAAAGGACACTTTTGGGACATATGTGTTGACTCTCCGGGGAGTGCGTGTGACGCCGCAGTGCTACAGCAGTCACCGTTGTGGGAGCTTCTAAGCGACGGGCAATTGTTGGGTCAAAACAAAGTCGACATCTCGGGCCGTGATGTTGGCCATTACCTCATTGGTGGCCCATCGTACCCCGCGGAGGAGTGGCTCATGACACCCTTCTGCGACACGGAAGACCTGACTCCGCAGCATTTCAACTCGTCGGAACAGTCTCTGTCATCAAAGCAGAGGAAGGCACAATACCCTAACTGCCCTGTCGTATCTGGACACACTCCTGGCTTATCTGAAAATCAGATCCTACTCCGGAACAAGTCGCCTACAACTCCCGACTGAACCGTGCGAGGTCCATTTTAGAAGCAGCCCTCGGGAGATTGAAAGGTCGATGGAGATGCCTCACGAAGAAACTGGACTGCAAAGTGGAGCTCGCCAGGGAAATGGCTGTTGCCTGCTGTGTACTGCATAACATTTGTGAAGAACATGGTGACGATTTCCAGGAGGCGCAGCCTGAAAGTCCACCTGGTCAGACTTCCCCTATGGACTGTACCGCACAAGGGCCTGGTATTAGAACCGCATTGCTGCAGTACTTTAGCGGGGACAATCAGTGAATGTCATCCATCCATCCATTTTACATGCCGCATAAACCAGCGCCTCTCCTGAAGGAACACTACTTGCCGGGCCCGTCGCCAAAGCATCACAGGATGCACAGATGACTCACAAAAATGTAAGGATCTTAGGCTTTCGCGTGAAATTTCGGGATGAACCTAAAATGCACTCTACCCTTACCAGCGGAACTTATTTGGACCATGTCTGAACTTTGAAATCTGAAATGTCCAGCTGTTCAGTGCTTCGGTTGTTTTTGCACAACATTCCTCTCGCAAGGAACTAACTAAATGTCAAAATTCACAGTATGCGTTTGGTTATTTATTTATGTATGTCATTTCCGAGGAGATCCACTTCTATACCTTTATTGATGAGACTCGATAAGCTCAGTTAGCCGCCACCTTTCTGAGAACATCCTTGAGTACTGTTCAATCGCTCGGTGTCAAAATGTGTACAGCGTGATGGGAGCTGTTTGAATGCCAATTCTGATTGAATCAGGATATTTTAGTCATCCATTCATGAATCGAACTCCTATTTTGAAATTTGCCATTGTATGATGGCTATTTAAAATGTATACTGTGAAGGAAGATCAACCTAAAAATATCATCTAAAGGTGTGGCAGGCCGCCGTGCATCATGGCCCACAACTGCAAACTATCATTTCGAACATCTTGTTAAATGTCTTTGATAGTGTCACGTAAAACAGGAGTGAATGATTTTATCGTGTGTCAGCCACGTGTCCACAGAGGTTTTTCTTAAACTATGGCACAGGCCCCTTGAGGTACTTGTTCAAATGGCGTTTCTGGTTACTGTACCAAATGTGATGACATGTCATGGTTTCTCCCTCCTGTGTTGTCATTTTAACATCAGGGTTGATTACGCAGCTCAGATTAATTTAAAAGCACACATTTTTAATAAAAAGTTTTAAAACCACAGTGTCATATTCGTAATTGATGACAAAGTAGAATCACCTCAAAATTCTACACCTGGTGATAGTCTCCACTCCTGTTTTTAATATTCTAACCAACCTATTTAGATAAATGACACATGATGGAATACAGATGTATGCCCCATTAGATTTGTTCAAGTGTACTTAATGAATTATCTTGTCAATGTGCCCTGAAGAAGAAAGTCCATCAATAAAAATCTACAGCAAGTCTTGTTGATCTTCCATCCCGCTTGTCCTCACTATGTCGGGCTGAAGTCGACAACATTCACCATCACTCGACAAGAATATTTTTGGAATGTGGGAAGAAACCCAAGAACGCAAACGTCACACGAGACGGCCGGAGCAGCCTCACGAACGTGCTCATCACTTTTATACCAAACGTACTGTTTTGGGAACACTTGGAGGGATAAAATAGAGCGTAATGGACGTCATTACATGGTGGGGTATACCTAATGAAGCGTCCGTTTTGTGTGAGTATATTCTCATCACCAACCGACAGAGGGCGCTGTCGTATCATTGCATGATGCCGACCTGCAATAGAAAAGGTCCCACTTAAAGCCATTGGAGGCTGCCTCACCTTCAATATCAGTTCACTTGCATAATTTCGATACGTTTTCCACTTCTTTTCATTTCAGTTTCATAAATAAGCGCAAATAAATAAAAGTCACATTTTTAAATAGCCAGTTTGTTTTAATCGGCCTCACAGTGCAGGAGTGCACGGTTAGATTCCGGCTCCGGCCTTCCTGTGCAGAATTTGCATGTTCTCCCCATGCCTGCGTAGGTTTTCTCTGGGTACTCCGGTTTCCTCCCACATTCCAAAAAAAAAAAAAAAAACATGCATGGCAGGCTGATTGAAAACTCCAAATTGTCCCTAGGTGTGAGGGTGAGCGCGGACGGTTGTTCATAAATGTGTGCCCTGCGATTGGGTGGCACCCCCCGCGACCCTTGAGAGAGGAAGCGGATTACAAACTGGATGGATGGATGAACTACTGTAAATAAAAACAAAGTCAATGGCGTGTGTCATGTCATTACTAGCACGGTCAAATTAATTTCTTACTTTTGTTTTTCACCTTGTGACATCATCTCTCAGCATTCACATGCAACCAGCAAAATCATTCAAAAAAAACATTTTTTTTTTTTTTTGTGGAATTAGACATGCATGCAGTTGCGGATCTTTTGTGCCATGAACATTAGACTGCTTCTCCCCAACCTTGAACAGCGCAGCTTTATGATTGTGTGTGTCACTTGAGGACATGTTAACACACTTGGATTGAAAATAGATGGAGGACAGGATCCTGTCGTGGTCAAGCATAAGCAAGCAGGTAAGCAGAATTTCTGAGCTCATTCCTGCCCAAGCCGAGATCACAACAGACCGTCTTTGCTGTCGTAGGGACAATTAAGTTTCTGCAAACATACACACACCTGTAATGTTTTCCAACCTTTATTTTAGCCAGGGCACATTTTGAAGGAAAATATTTTTGTCATGAAGTTGATTGTTGTCAACTCAGAGGGGCTGAGAACAGGCGAGACCACAGGCTGTCTGGCAGCATTTCTGGTCACCTGCACACTGACCGTCATGGAAGCAATTCTCTGCACACGTTCCTTGGTGCAGAGGGCAGCGGCCCGGCTTCACTGACACACCAAAACACAAAAGAGGGCAGGGTTACAGAGCAAAACATACCCAAGGGAGCAATGCGACCACAGGGTAGTGAAAAGTCACTTAAGCTAACCTTGGAAAGGTGGCATGCAATTGTATCCTGCACATCCGTTGCGGCAGCATTTCAACTCGTCGGAACAGTCTCTGTCATCAAAGCAGAGGAAGGCACAATACCCTAACTGCCCTGTCGTATCTGGACACACTCCTGGCTTATCTGAAAATCAGATCCTGAAATGAGCAGGTTTTAATGAAATGTTCTGTAAACCCGCGTTGTTACAGCTACAGCTGCTGTGTAAGCGCCACACAAATAAAATGTGTTGGACGGGTGTGTCGCAGAGAAGCACAAAAGTCTGATTGACTTCCAAAAGGGAAACAAGTTTGTAATTCGTACTGAAAGAAGGAGCGACGCAGACATCTTCACAGTCGAAGACGCAACACTTGTGGTCCCCAGGGCAGTCTTGGTCACTCACACATCCCCTTTTTGATGGTGCAAGTAAAGCACGACGGGAACATTCGCCTGGTTTTGGGTGAATCTCTGAGTGAAAGAACAAAACAAAACATCTTGAATCATCCAAGAGTGTCATGTTTTTAAATGGCAAAGAAAATGATCAAGAACTTACTGGGAGAATCCTGAGTAAAAACCGGATGAAATTGCACAAATGCACCGAGCGCGAAAACCAACGCACAAACAGCGTACTTGTCCATGCTTGTATGCGAATGTGCTCTTGATTCCCTCTGTTGGGACAAACACGACTTGCAGGTGTGTCGCCCTGAAGAGGATGCTATTTGGACCATGTCTGAACTTTGAAATCTGAAATGTCCAGCTGTTCAGTGCTTCGGTTGTTTTTGCACAACATTCCTCTCGCAAGGAACTAACTAAATGTCAAAATTCACAGTATGCGTTTGGTTATTTATTTATGTATGTCATTTCCGAGGAGATCCACTTCTATACCTTTATTGATGAGACTCGATAAGCTCAGTTAGCCGCCACCTTTCTGAGAACATCCTTGAGTACTGTTCAATCGCTCGGTGTCAAAATGTGTACAGCGTGATGGGAGCTGTTTGAATGCCAATTCTGATTGAATCAGGATATTTTAGTCATCCATTCATGAATCGAACTCCTATTTTGAAATTTGCCATTGTATGATGGCTATTTAAAATGTATACTGTGAAGGAAGATCAACCTAAAAATATCATCTAAAGGTGTGGCAGGCCGCCGTGCATCATGGCCCACAACTGCAAACTATCATTTCGAACATCTTGTTAAATGTCTTTGATAGTGTCACGTAAAACAGGAGTGAATGATTTTATCGTGTGTCAGCCACGTGTCCACAGAGGTTTTTCTTAAACTATGGCACAGGCCCCTTGAGGTACTTGTTCAAATGGCGTTTCTGGTTACTGTACCAAATGTGATGACATGTCATGGTTTCTCCCTCCTGTGTTGTCATTTTAACATCAGGGTTGATTACGCAGCTCAGATTAATTTAAAAGCACACATTTTTAATAAAAAGTTTTAAAACCACAGTGTCATATTCGTAATTGATGACAAAGTAGAATCACCTCAAAATTTTACACCTGGTGATAGTCTCCACTCCTGTTTTTAATATTCTAACCAACCTATTTAGATAAATGACACATGATTGAATACAGATGTATGCCCCATTAGATTTGTTCAAGTGTACTTAATGAATTATCTTGTCAATGTGCCCTGAAGAAGAAAGTCCATCAATAAAAATCTACAGCAAGTCTTGTTGATCTTCCATCCCGCTTGTCCTCACTATGTCGGGCTGAAGTCGACAACATTCACCATCACTCAACAAGAATATTTTTGGAATGTGGGAAGAAACCCAAGAACGCAAACGTCACACGAGACGGCCGGAGCAGCCTCACGAACGTGCTCATCACTTTTATACCAAACGTACTGTTTTGGGAACACTTGGAGGGATAAAATAGAGCGTAATGGACGTCATTACATGGTGGGGTATACCTAATGAAGCGTCCGTTTTGTGTGAGTATATTCTCATCACCAACCGACAGAGGGCGCTGTCGTATCATTGCATGATGCCGACCTGCAATAGAAAAGGTCCCACTTAAAGCCATTGGAGGCTGCCTCACCTTCAATATCAGTTCACTTGCATAATTTCGATACGTTTTCCACTTCTTTTCATTTCAGTTTCATAAATAAGCGGAAATAAATAAAAGTCACATTTTTAAAGAGCCAGTTTGTTTTAATCGGCCTCACAGTGCAGGAGTGCACGGTTAGATTCCGGCTTCGGCCTTCCTGTGCAGAATTGTCATGTTCTCCCCATGCCTGCGTAGGTTTTCTCTGGGTACTCCGGTTTCCTCCCACATTCCAAAAAAAAAACATGCATGGCAGGTTAATGGAGCACTCTAAATTGTTCCTAGGTGTAAGTGTGAATGTGAATGGTTGTTCGTCTCTATGTGCCCTGCAATTGGTTGGCAACCAGTTCAGGATGTCCCCCGCCTACTGCCCGAAGACAGCTGGGATCGGCTCTGGCAAGGCCGTGACCCTTGTGAGGATAAGCAGATTAGAAAATGGACGGATGGATGTTTCAAAGGATCAGTATCTGATAACTGCAGTGACGTATTTTCCTGAAACACATCTGCATCATCTTCCATAGATGCCGCTGCAATGTATCTATGCAAATCTATTCTGGCTGGATTTGAATTGATTGACAGGTACACCCAAACCATCAAACACACTCAGTCTACTCGGTTATTATGCTCGGTGCAGTGAGCAGACAAGTAACATTAACCCCAGGGGAGTAAAGGCCATGCAATTTGGATGTCTAAATGCACTGCTTCTTGCAAGCTCAGAGCTCAGTAGCCAGCCTGGGCTTTTTTTGGTAAAGTTTTATTTATTTATTTTAACCTAATCACATTTATTATAATATAGTTGACTCTTCCAAGGTGTCTTATGTACAATTCCGATGATTGAATACGACATCATAATTTAATGGTTTTGAGGTCTTTATATGTGGTTTTCTTTTGTGCACTCATCACACAGAATCTTTGGAATGTATCATTTGTGCTCCCTCCCTTCAACCTTTTCTACCCCCCCCCTCTCTCTCTCCCCCTCCAGCACCTCCCATGTCCTTGGGAATTCAATTATGGAAAAGTGTAGCTGGAAACCTTTCCTCTATGTATTCATATAAGGAGGCTTGGCTCGTGGGTGATATTGTATGTCCTTGAAATGATGTAGATGCTATCAGTTTCAGTGGCTGGCTGTCAACGTTGCATATGGGAATGAAGTAGAGAAGGGCAGTTTAGACTGTAAGTGGGGAAAAAAAATAGTTCTCAAATTTTTATTGATCCGGATCTGAAACTTGCAATTAAGCCGAAGATATGGTTGGAAAACACTTGCGTAATGGATCATAGAAAGTATAGTCCAGTTAGCTTCATGTTATTGTGACTATCACACCTCAAATTGCGTGCACTGTAGACACGGTATCTGTAAAGCTAAAGTCTCGAGTCTGGAACAGTTTTTCGACCCACAAAATGACTAAAACTGACAATAACAAGGCATGTATGAAACTGGCCTTGCCAAAAAAAGATCATACCCTAAACTTCATATCTTGCTGCACATCCTTTTGGGGCAAGCGCTACAATCAGGCGATTTCTGTCACTCTCATGTGAGACTTGTGCACCTGTCGACAGCTATTTTGGCAAACTGCTCCTGACAGCATGTTTAAGCTCCTCCCACAAATGTTGAATATGATTTATATCACAAATCTTTGGAATAGTCCATTGTGTTGCTCTTAAACTGTTCTTGGCTCTTTTGGGGTCCCAGTGCCATGTCAATCTTGAGATGATGTTATTTGTTTAAAGCTACCCGGTGGCGGATGCAGCAAAGTAGCCCAGAACAGGACCGAGCCTCCTTTGTGTGTCAGGGTAGGTAAGGTGCTCTTTTTCTTCGGATTCTTCATATTTACGTCTGCAAACACAGAGCTTCTGTGACTTGTCAAAAGCTCCAGTTTGTTTTTCTCTTTGTTGTTTCAGTCCAATCACTTTCAAGTTATTCCAGTGACCACTGTGGCTTTTTCTTTCGGGGAAGGGTACCAAGAATTGCGTGTTTGTGTTCCTATTGTAGCCTTAAAAAAATCATTCTTGTGAATGGTTGATAGACATTCATTCTAAAGTCGAATTACTAACCAGACAAATGGGCATAATTCAGTGACTCATGCTGCTACTGTGTCCACAGTGACCCCCCCCCTCCAAAAGAGTCTGAACTCCAACCTTTGACCTTAGCACCCCCCCCCCCCTCCTTCCTCGGGCTGCTTGACTCAATCATGTATTACGTTGTGCATTAACCGGCCGTTGACCTCTGCATGCTAAACCCGAATGCCAAATCATCTCCACCCTTAGCAATCGCACCGCTGATTCTGTTATCCACTCTAGCTTCGGGCTTCAAAAGTGTCTCAAATGACTTGTCTTATCTAAATCACCCAAATGGTAGCTGACAGAGAGATAGAGAATTGCTATATTTTCATTTTGTAACTTTATTTAAAAAGGCTCCTCTTGCCGCCTGACATTGGGAACCTCTCCATTTGTCACTGAAACGTTTTTGCCATGATGACCAATAAGCTTGACCGTTGCCCCCCACCAATATGTCGACTCACCCCGCTAATACAGAGAGTAATGGTCATCGGGCGATAATTTTTTTCAAAGTCAAGATAATGCTAATGCTTTTAATGATGAAGCATGCACCGAAATCCCTCCCCATCATCCAATTGTCTCCCGTGGTGGCGAGGCTGGCCTTGTCGCCCCGTGGGAGATCCGTGATGTATTCAGCCAGCCAGGCCTTGGGAGCAAAATGAAAACAAATGTAGTGTAATAAAAGAGAGAAGATGAAGTGATTCTGTGATGATGCTTTCCACCGCTGTTATAAATCAGAAAATAGAAGCGGAGCGAGTCATTTATGCTTCCACCTTCACACGATATACACAAATAAAGAAGGAATACGGCATACATGCACACATTTAGTGTTCTTCTGTGACTACGGCAACTGCATTAATTGCAAAGATTATTCACCTTGGCGTTTGGAGTTGACATGGTTGGATATGTCATACTGCTTATCCGGAGCCTTTCCCATCTGCCAAAGGGTGAGGGGTGGGATAGTGGGAAGTGTGTGGGGTCGATCAGAGAGCTGACCTATGGAGAATGCCAACCCTACACACTAGGAGCAGTCAAACTCCCCCCCCTCCCCCCACCCTCCTTTTTCCTTTGCTTGAAGCGATGGCGTTGCTGGGGCAAGCCTCCTATCTCCTATTAGAATGTTATATAGATTATTATACACAGCACTTGTCATATTATCCAGAACTGATAAAGCTGCACTCGCACAAGAGAATAAGCTCTAACTCCACCGAAAGCTGTTGGGTCTTTTCATTTTCATGACCATTCGCCAAACCCCATGCAAACAGATTGCACCAACTCAAATGATCATTCTCAATAATTATTTACAATTTGCAAGAAAACGAATTGAATACTTTTGAAGTGACCAAGACAGTCGCCTGATCTTGATTCAGTCAGCGAAGACTGTAAAAACTGCAAACAAGAAGCAAGTGAAGATCACTCCCCAAAAAAAATTGTTACTGTTGCTTTAATTCCTCCTGTGGTCAACGTGATATATTTGCGAGTACAATTCACTCACACATCTTAACTGTTTGATTTCGAATCTATTATTGTTTGTATTGTTTCGTTCTTTGAGTTCATTAGTCTTATTTGTTTTTATCCACACCCCTTGTGATGGTCTATCTCCAAAAGGCGGGGCGCACATTTGCAAATACAGTACAGTCGAGTCAAGACAGTACCAGAGAAGCACGAAGCTGTCATCCTGCTCTTCACCCGCAGGAGTCGCTGTGGTGCCGATGTAAGACTTGTACTCCATCGGGGGGGGGGGAAAGCTGCAGTCCCGATGCTAGTCATTGTGCAATTGTGACAACTTTCATTATACAGGAAATAAAACATCTACAGTGCTTAACATATCTATCAAGCCACATGTCATCGTTTGTCTCAGAGACCAGCCAAGCGTCATGAATTGCTTTACTGTGGACGCTCTCATCTTTTCCGTGAGCTCTCAAAAGTTTTCGCATTTTCAACAGTAGTGATACATTTCCAAAATGTATTTAC